TGGTAAATAAATTTTCTACATTTATACAGATTCAAACAATATTTACCTATTGTCTATTCTCTTATTTGTCACTATAAAGGTAATGTTACTTTAGGTGTATAATTTTTGGGAAATAATAAACCATTGTTAAATAATTTACAACGTTTTTTAATTGTCATTTGTTATTAAACAATATGATATTACGTAGAATATAATCTATATTTTTAAGAATAGGAAAACTTTGAAAATGAAACTGAATGAGATCAAATTTAGAATTTGTTATGGTAAACAGTAATTCCACTGACATGGTATGATTTTAAACCAGCAGTTTTGTAGTTTTCCAATAAAACATTATTATTCACATCATTAAATATTATATACAGGGTGTCCCATAAGTAGAGAAAAATATTTAAAAGATTGATAGTAGAGTTCAAGGTCTACAAAAAAGTTCATATAAACTATTGCCAGCTAAGCAAAAGTTCATAAAAACCAATTTCCAGCTGAAAAGTAGGAAATTTAAGATTTGTGGGTTTTTTTTTAGTCACGTTTTTCGTTCAATAGGAAGCGAACACTTAAAAAATACATTTAAAAAACATTGCTCCATAGTAAACTAGACAAACTTTATTTTAAACGAAAGTAGTGTTAACCATTATGGAGTTAGTCAAGCACAGCTAAGTTCCGTTTAAAAAAAGTCATAAATTATTTGTGATTTTTTTTTCTCACCTGTCAACTGTACTACATTTACTTTAGGAAAACTTTCTTGTTTGATAAGCTTCAAGTCCATGTTAATTAAGTTGGGGTTTATTACGAAAACGTTTTACAATTAACTCAAGTTCTTTAGAGAAATGATGTGATTTTCTATCCAGTCACCTAAAAGTAAACGTGTTTTCAGCAAAAATGATCACATTTAACTTTTTCAAAACTTTTATTTCTTATTTTTCCGTTTTATGAGATGAACTTAATTGCCTAAAAACACATTTTATTTATAAAAATTAAAAATAATGATTTTTTCGTGGAAGGTGGTTATGCAATTGTATTTTTCTCCCATATTTCTGTCATAGGAATTGATGCAAATTTATAAGTGACAAACTTAATGTTTTTAGCCCTAATAATTACGGTATAAATCAGTAGATTTCTTTATTTTAAACGTAAATGTTAGTGAGAAACAAATAATTAAAAACCGAATCGCGCCATATAATCTCCTTCCAGGCACCCCTGGATAGTCTTATTATAACTATTATATAATATAGCTGTTTAGATATAATAAACCATTGGGTACTAATTTAAAGCATTTTTAAATACTTTTAGAAAGTTGTTCGTCAGTAAAGAACTAAGACTCGAATCGAAACATGGATAAGAGAAAATAAATGGTTAGCTGCAAAAATGGCAAAACTGGTTATATCGATATATACGGTAATATGTTTGAACTGGTATAGAAGTTTAGGTATCTAGGCTCTACGATAACTAGAAAAAACGAAATTGAAGAAGAGATTAAGGTTAGACTGAAGGCGAGAAATGCTTGTAATTTTTCTGTGACAAAACTACTTAGTTCGCGCCTCTTGTCCCGAAACTTAAAAATTAAAATCTATAAAACCATTATCTTAACTAAAAGTTATTTATGGATGCGAAACGTGGCCGCTTACTTTAAGGGATGAGCAGCGTCTTAACGTTTTTTAAAATAAAGTATTGCATAGAATATTCGGACCGAAGAAGGATGAATTAACTTCAGACGGTTACAGAACGCCTAATTGCGTGAACTGTATCCGGGTAATATAATTGAGGTGATTTCATCCAGGGGAGACAAATGGGCTTGTAAAATTGTTGGGCTTAGTAACGAGAGACTTCTTAAAAGGTTAATATTTGATGTACCGAATGGTAAACGTAAGAGGAGTAGGCCGAAGCGAAGGTGGGAAGATTACATTAAAGCCGATTTGAATGGACTGCGTCTGGACGTCGAACGGTGTAAGGAGGTGTGTAATAAGCGATTGATGGTGTCGGCATCTAATCTTCTGGTTCGGTAAGCCTTTTATTATTTATTTATTTTATTATCTAGAAAGTTGTCCTCCTAAAAAATGTTTTTCTTTTTGTTTATTTTGTTTCGTTCCACTCTACTGTACATTTCATGTAAAGATTGGGATGAACATAAACAGATATCCTAATTCGTCTGAATTGAAATAGGACATGGAAAATAGGAGTGATCTCAGTCTACAATATATAATTGTACAATCTGCAATTGTCAATATCATCATTTGAGCTAGTAACGCTACCAATCCAAGGATAATGATTTCAAGATTATAGACAAATTGCTGCATGTATGCTGGCTAAAAAATATGATATTCGGCAGATATAACTCAAGAGAACTGAATAAGAAGGTTACCTACAAAATATATTGGAAAATCTGGTTGAAAATATAAATCTTGTAAATCGAAAAATAAAATTACTACCGAGCTCTTTGAGTAAGATATTATTCATGGAAATGTAGAAAGATTCGTCTTCTTTTTACGGTAATAACAAATGATTGATGAATATGACCATATATTATTATAAAACCCAAGAAAATGATTATTCAAATGATTGGGTTTATTTTTTTAAGTTACATCCTCTCTCGTTAGAAAATACATGAAGTATAATAATTAAAAATACTCATTACAGAATATGAATGTTTAATTAATCCATTTTTAAATTTTCATAAATTATTATAATATTCATGAAATGGGGGTCTGTAGTTTATGTTAAATGTTTATACAAATTTTAATTCGGTTATTATAAATTAAGCGATATTAAAAACGCTCTAATACGGTCTCTAGTCGACTTGGAGATGCCAATTAATATGTCATATATGCTTAAAAAATAAATTATCGATAATCTCGATTTAGACTTTGTACGAATCCATAATTGAAAAAATAATTACTTTTTTATTAAAAACTTGTTTTGGTTCTAGAATTTTATAATAAAAAAAAGGGTCCATAGAAATTTAAAAACACCTCTTGAGTCAATTACCTGACAATCTATTAATAACAACAATTGTGTAACAGCTCTTATGCGTTTCTTTTCAGTAGCCTATCTCTGTTTTAAATGACCTAGATATATAATTGTAATAGTCCCAACCTTAGATAAGAAAACAACATTATCATATCTATGTGCCATGGAATAAATGGTGTGCGAAACATTGAGATCTTAATTAACATTATAAATAAAATCTATAGGATATGCATTAATATTTAAAAGCTATTGAGGCCAAGTTCTAGCAGACTACGTTAATTAATACATTAACTTGTTAATTAATCAATACGTAGTCTAACCTGATTTCTTTCATTCCGGGAAAGAAATATATTCGATTACTTTTAAATGAGTTAATATTTAGTTACTTTTATATCAACTTTCAAACAATAATCAATGTCTTATGCATTATTTATTAAATTTTTAATATATAATGAGTCTCAAATGAATTGAGAGACTCTGAGGCACAATATTGCTATACAATTTATTTTCGAAAAAAAAACTTCGGCTACCTTAGGCTTTGGGCTTCAAAACTCAAATAGGAGTCATTACTTGTGTATTTTGCTATTATGAATGGAATGAAACAAAAAGTAAATTCATAGTTTTACGCGTTGTTATTATGAAAATATTATGTTTTAAATTTAATTAATTGTGAATAAAAATAATTATCTATAATCCAAGACGACACGACTTAATAAATGTTTAAATACATAAATATATAATAATTACTAAATATGTAACCAAAAGTTCAAGCATAATCATTGTTTCTATTTAAAAATCGACATTCTCCGTTGAAGGATTATGCAATTTTAAGATTGTTTTATTTTATGATGTTTTCAGCTGATCATATACTGAAAATTATTATTACAAAATGTTTCATAGGTAGGAGATCATTTGAAAAATGTTGTTTTATTTCTACTATTCCTTTATTTATTTCATTTTATTTTATTATTTATTTATATTTCCATAAAATTTGGTTTAATGACACGAGAAGGTTTCCCGTTCCCCAATAATTTACAATTTAAAAGCCCAAACTATAGTTAAATTTCATATTTGAGAACCAATTTCAAATTATGCAAATTAAGGTACCTAAAACATTATACTTGTAGAGTTCCTAAAATTTAAAACAAGCGCTAAATAAATTATTTTTAAATTCTCTGTTCAAATTTTCATACGAATAGATTTTTAATAGATTAAATCGTAAAAGATTTCTCTTTGTTACATAATGAAAGACCTTTATACTAACTTCAGTTAGCTGAAATCTTCTTTTTTTTTTTTAATAGAATTCCATCTTTAAGAACTTATTTATTTAATTGCATCATTACTTCCTTGGCTAAAGAATAACAATATATTAACTAATCTAAGTATGACACAAGAAAGAATCTTTATATATTATTTCCAAAAGGTGGTTTCATTTTTATCAGTACGCTGTATAAGCGTCAATTCTACATCAAATACAATGATTGAGCCTAGATTTTGAAGATCTCCTTCGGATAGAAAAAATAGTCACATCTTAAGGAATTTTAGGCAAAAATTTTATAATGGAAAAGAAACTGTATGTGCGACTAAATCAAAAAGTGTACATTTTGTGTTTTAAAGATTATTAAATTCCCTATGCAACAAACAAAAATTATCGAAATCGGACAATTTTAAGCAAAGATATAAAGCCTATGGTAGGGTAACATTTTTACTCTCTAGGCTCTATATTTTTGGAGGCCACCTTTTTTCTCGACTTCCAATACCCAATTTGTATGAAACCCAACACCGTGGAATACTGGAATGCACAAAATCTCTCCTCTGAATAAGGTTTATTACATTCCATGACTTTTTTTTTTTTTTTAATTTCAAAAGATCCTGATTTGTTCACGAATCCGTCACTATCGGAACGGATGGAACAGGTAATTTTGTTCCTATACCGATTAAACATTATCTCATTTATATTTAATCCTGATTAATGTGGAATAAGAACCAAGCGATAACGTAAAAAACAAAACAATATAATCTCTCAGTCTCCAAACTCCATCGAAGGCAAAGGTAAAGAAGAACATGAGCTGGAAATCGAGAACACCAAGCAATGAAGGAGAAGAAGTCATCGATGAGTTGGAAGGACTTTTCGAAAAAAATGAAAAATTTGGAGGTTAGTAGTAGATTATACCTTCAAGTATATTTACTTTAAATGAATCAATTAAAATCATAGTTTTATTCTTTTTACTTAGAAAATTACTTTATAAATTAGTATATTGAAGAAGTCAAGAAAGGAGTTTGTTTTATTTTGTACAGCATTGAAGCTAGTTTAGTTATACTCAACCACTAACATTAAAAAATAATACATCTTGTTTATAAGAAAGCTTTTCTTAAATCCCTATTAAACAACTAGCTGTGTCAAAAAGTCAATGAATCTATTCGTAGTTCGCTCCTATTTGAGACAAACTATTCTTTAATGAGATAAAATAGTAATTAAAAAAAACTCCTGTTAATAGGGTGAAAGAACTTTAAGCCTGTATCGGATTTAGCATTGAATTTCAGAAGTAGCTAAACATTTATTTTTAAGCACGGTCATTTCAGCAATAATAATGCTTTTAGATACAAAATATTTATCTTTTAATAGAGAGGTGCTTACATTAATAACAGAAATACTTGCGTTATAATTTATGTGCGACAGAGGTAAGAAACACCATGTCATTGCTCTATTAAGTATTTTTGAAACTAAGGAAACAAACTTTAATAGCTTAAAGTTATGGCGAACTGGCTCCCTTGAACAAATACAAAAATGTGACATTGTGTCCTTTTTCTCCGCAGTACAGATTTAGTAAATAAGAAAATAATTTTAATAGGTCAGAGTTATAAAACATTGGTTCCCATAAACAAATACAAAAATATGATATGTTGTTCTTTAGCCCCATACAGATTTTTTTTTAATATATATTTTCTTAGGTCTCTCATAGAAACAAGTATGTACCAATAAAAAAATATATTATTTTCTTTAAATAAATTATATGTGAATGGGTTTTCAGCCCGAATAACTCCTCTCTTAAATCCGTCAGAGGACCGGAGTATTCTGTTGGAATTTAACCATTTTTTAACAAATTAGATCAGCCAGATAAATCATAATTACTTTTTATACTTTGGACTTTTTAATTATTTTGCACTGACCTTATCAACGTAATTGCTAATCTATTTATCGCTGTTGAAGTATGGACATTGCGAAATATAGTTGTATCATGCATGATCATCTTTTTGTCTCAATTATTCGTGTGGGGGATGGGAACCATAATAGGCGGTGAAACTCTTTTAACTCCTCTAAGCGGACACTTAGAGCACAAAATCATAAATTGCCATCAATTTTTTAATTATTAAGAGTACCAGGCGCTCTCTATAACGAACGTGGGCGGGCTCAATTGGAGTTTTTTTCATTAATAAGTTTCTCCATAACAAACAGCACACATGAAGAAAATATTTTTCATTTTGTTTTTTTACGCAAACGTTTAGTTTTTATAAAGGTAATTGAATTAATCACAGGTCGTTTATGGTGTCATTCTACCAATTTTCGTTATTGAAATTCCTGACTTTTTCATGACTTTGTCAAAAAATTACTTCTTCCCACCGTCCCATAGAGATCGAAGACTACGGTATTATGTATTAAATAATAATTTTTAAATAACTCATCTTGTCATTAAATATTAAAACCGGTAATTAATCGTATTTATAAATGTCATATACAGAATTAACATTATTACTATTAGTCTTAATTAATAAAATATTTAATTAATTATTGAAATTAATTATAATAATCTTTATAAAATAAATAGTTGCTGTAAAAATTACCTACATTCTCTCGGTGTTACCTCAACTGCATTCAAAAGCTGACAGATATTTATGTTTCAAATTAGGGTATCCCAGAAATTTGTATAGATAAATTTATTTATTATATTACGAAACAAATGTAAATTCCCGAAGAAATGAAATTTTATTTTTCGGAATAGCTAAATAAATATAAAAATTATCGAATCAATTATAAAATCTGTAATAAGTAGATAAAAAAAATCTGTAACACCACAACCCATGAAGGGTCATGGCTTCATTACTTTATCAGGAAGTAAGTACTGTTTCAAGGACAACGGTTGTGCAGAGAGATGATTGGATCGGGATCACGCTCAATCAACTTTATAGAAAGTGGATGTGCTCCAGAAGGGTCTTCCGACACCAGGTTCGGTCCACGGCTGATAAAAAATTAATTGTCATCAGTCAAGACCTAGGGTCTTGAGCTTTGCGGTTCAGTACCTAACTCACTAAGCTACTCCGCTCTTAAATAATTTGCATTTACCGCCATCAAATAAGGGCTCTTATACAACTGCACAATCCACTTCAAAAAGTATGCCATTGTCACGGATCCCATGTGTGTTTTAAAAGCACTTATGAATTATCGTCCATTTACATTGGACATTAATGGAAGAAAATAAAGAGATAGTCCTCATTTGGTCACCATTGCATTGTAGTACCCAAGGTAACGAGTGAGCCGATGCTGCCGCCAACATATGTCACAAGATGATCTCGAAGCCACAGAAATTTCATGTCTAACTCAAAGGCTTCAAAAAGTAAAAAAAAAAAAAAAAAATGAAACATGTATAACAACTTTAAATGAAACTACTAGGAATAAAGAAAACATGTGCACCATGGAAATTATAGACGGAAACAGATCAACCTGGTAGTATGGTCGACATGGTACCTAATCTATAGTGATGGTAATCTACAGTGATGGTAACCTGTTTTTTTGTTTTGTTCTTCCCTACCTCGCCGTTTAGGCTATACGGGATTTTCCCAGGCCGGGGGATGAGGGCGGGGAATTTAAAATCCCCTCTGGCACCGGGACGCGAACTCGTACTTTTCTTGTCTCTCAAATCTTCATAGATATGGTTGCCGGGCAACTCGCGGTGCTGTGCACACGCTTTAGCCCATTCGGCTACCCCGCCCCCAAGTAATGGTAACCTATAGTAATAGCAACCTATGATGATGGTAACCTGTAGTGATCGTAACGAATAGTGATAATAATCTATAGTGATCCATGTGTTCTAAAATGGGTACCTCCAGTGAGTATTCCTAAATAGAATATGGAAATTTTCACTAAATACTGGAAGCACCAACATGTATCCATTGCCAAGAAACCAGGAAAGTTGAGCAAGTCTTCCTAGAATGCAGAACTCTATTAGTCCTTAGGCCAACTTTAAGAATGTATATGACCAAAAAAAAAATCCAGGATGACAAGGAAAAATACCAAAAAATTTTCAAATATTTAAAAGACAAAATTTTTATAACATAACGTAAGTATTTGTAATGTTTTACACCATTCAATCTTAGAAGTAATTGTATGTACAAAAAAAAAAATTAGCAGTAATGCGCATAGTAGTTTGCAACAAATGGCAATATAATTTAAAAATAATAAATGCAACGTATTATAAGGTGAATGAATCGATCTTTTTTTCATCTATCGTTTACAATGTTTCAAAATAATAGACCATAACGTATGTGCAAATCACAATAGTGTGTATGTTTGCTAGAACTGATAGATCGTTTTTTTTTTTTTTATAACAGGCAATTCAAGAACCTTTCTAATAACTATCATATACGTCTAATAACATTTCGAATTGATTACTAAATGGTCTACAGTTGTATAATATTCAGGAAGGAGATGGTCCGGAATGGTGGTCATAAAAAAACTTGAAATAGTGAATAAAATAGTTCTTCACTATTTAAAGTTTTTTATGACCGCCACCCTAGACCATCTCTATCCTGAAAGTTTAAAATTCCATGTTGTTTTAATAGAATTGTCATAATGGATCCCTAAAATCAACTTTGTGCACGGAACCAACTGACTAAAGTTCGTTTTCATTTAAGGAAATTGTGAAATTAGATTCTTTAAATTTTCTAATTTTTTTTTAAATGCCTTGAAATGTCCTATAGCATTGTCCAGGTCAATTAATACATATTTCGTGGTTGAAAAACAGCCGACCTATTAATTATGGTTGAAAAATTGGCGAAATATTAGGTCATTTTTTTTTTTTATCTTTAGCATTCTAAACCATAACATATATATATATACAAAGTGTTATCAATATTTATTTATTGATGAGCGATTTATTTATTGATATACTAAATGTTTATATTCCTTGGTCCCATACCTCTGTTAAGAACTATTAACAGAACTAAGAAGAAGTATTATTAACTTGAAGGGATAAAGAAAATTTCAACTTGATACTTTAATCCGAAATTCTTTTTATTTCGTAAAAACTATGGATAGATAAACGCCTGCCAAGATAAAACTGAGACAATACAGATACATCAAAAAATATATATCTTCCTTTATCTTAATGGCGACTTTTGTCAAAGCAACTAGCTGCTCAACAGTCCTGAAAAGAAAGGTTAAACCGTGCTGTAAATCATCTTCATCTCCGAGCCAGACAGTCACACAGTCATTTATTGCAATAAAAAATGCTAAGAAAAAACATTGAGATAAGGAACGCTAATCCCTGCCGTATCTTAAATCTATTTTCACCACAGACTGCTTCCTAATATTTTGAACCATCGTTTTATCAAAAAAAAAAAATAATAATAATCATAACAAAATAAAACAAATCCTATATTTAGCTCATGAAATGATTGTTTATAATTTAAACATATAAATTACGGCTCCATAGCTGTGTGGAAAAAAAAAAAGTATGACGAGTGAGGGCAGTCAGTATAGCTTCCTCGCCATTTTCACTGGTTCCACTCTTACCTACTTATCTCAAGGTTAACCATTTTTCGTTTGTGAATAAAATCTTCAGTACCGGTATTCAAAAAGTTATTTCAGTAATTCCATATTTGCGGATTGGATAGCGAATAAAGAAATGTGACTTAGTTTCACATATGGGAATTGCGTGTTTAACTTTTCGTGATAACCAATAAAATTTGGAAATTCCCAGTAAATTATGCATGTGCACATTGTATCCAGTCTGTATGTCTTCAATCTTAAAATGTATGGGAAAAATCGATTAATCGTTTCTTTGGTGTATACAAAACTATTATACATTTTCCAGCAGACATGAAAAAAGTATTTTAAGGTTAAATACAGGAATATCACTGACGTTTACAAACAAAATC